CCTCTATCCTTGTCCTCCTCTATCCTTGTCCTCCCTCTACCTTGTCCTCCCTCTATCCTTGTCCTCCTCTACCCCTTACACTCCTCTCCCCCTTACTCTCCTCTACCCCTGTCCTCCCTCTACACTTGGCCCTTCCTTTCCTCCTCACTTTTCAACTTCAAGTGAAGCCGCTTTCAATGCACAGGACCTGATACATCCCCAATATGATACCAATTGGACTTCTATATTTTTGTCAACAGACCCATCAAATAAGAACCATACCTACATCTTCTCAAGGCTCAAAATAAGGGGCTGACTGGGGTCAAAGCAATAAAAACATCATCTGGAATCACGGCTGGTACTTTCTTTTAGGTGGAAAGATGTGTTATAGAATGGTGGCAGATCTTAACATTAGCTTTGAACTTGAAGTTCAAGTATGCCCTTTGTAAGGATCCCTAATAATAGCCACAGGAGAATTAGATAACAAGAAATGCCTAGTGCAATGGGATATCTGCTATGACTTCTGGTTTTCAATCCCATGGTTAAAAGTTTTCCTGGAAATATATGGATTTATTAGGCAAAAGCGGCTCACAGTAAAATGATTGAATTCCAGAAAGTATGACTTAGTGCTTTAAGGCACTAAGAGGCAGAGAGAGGTGGTTAAGAACCCTGATGTTGAATTTTTTTTATGAACCCCTGTAGAATTCTTGGACTCTATAAAATAAAGAAATTTTACTCACTGGAACATGGAGTCTGAGCACCCCGAGTTTCACTAAGAAACAATTTACAAAACCTTTGCTTCAACGTAACTGTTTAAATATTATTAAATAATGATCTTTCATGTTAAGCAAGAACAACAAAAAAATCTTTGATGAAAGCATTGCAAATTAAAATCACAACTTCACTATGTTTATATTCCCAGGACACAAAGGCATTAAATACCTTTGATAACAATTAAAATGAAATTGTTTAGTTGTGACTTAATCAAAGCCGGACAAGTGCCATATAAAGACCACACATGAGCTAAGAGCTCTGAGGTGGCAGTGGGGGTTGAAAAAGAGGAAGGCAGTTGCCTTCTTATCTTGTTCCTTTGTAGGAATACTGAGAATTTAGGGGCAATTTCAGATGAAATATATTTATTGAATGGTACTGTTCGAAGTGTACAAAAACCCCATTTCTTAAATGTGACATTCATTATAAACCTTTGTGAAGATTACCCATCCAAGTTTACTTGACTTAGAGTGCATCTATATTGGAAACAGTAAGAAAGAATGGGGAGGAGATCATAATTTTGAATTACAAGAAAATTTCTTGTTAAAAATCCTCTGTCCCTCACTTTCCTGTGGATACAGAGGAGGCTGCATTGATATGTTAACTACAATCCTACCGACTCCTGCTTCCACACCTCCTGTTCTTACCATAGGAGTTCATGGTATTTCCTTTGTGTTTAATAGAAGCCTCGTGGCCACTGTAGGCTACTAGCTGCTGGTGACTTTTATGTCTTGATGACCTCTCAAGTCTCCTGTCTCCACTCCTTCACACCAAGGCCCAGAAACTTGTTAGTGGACATTACCTATACCCAGCTAGGCATCAACAGGCAAGTACAGGAGAACATTTGTCATGTGGATGGGTAGTCTGTGGCCAGGTGAGACTCTTCCCCTCTTATATGATACCATAATGAAGGGACTTCAGGATCCTTACATCTTAATAATTATCTAAGACTAGAGAGACAGCACATTTTGTTTTTAGATAGTTTGTTCTTTATGTTTTTGTCCTTCTCTCTACAGGACATGGGCAAGTGAGATAGCTAACAAAGAAAAGGTGAATGTCCCCAAGGTGGAGGACATGCATTTGATCTCCAGGACCCAAATGGTAGAGGGAAAAGGGAGAGACAGCTCCCCCAAGTCATCCTCTGATTTCCACATATACATCATGGCACC